TATATATATATATATATATATATATATATATATATATATATATATATGAGAGAGAGATCCTTACATACTTGCACAACCGATACTTCCCACATCCCTGTGTACATATTCAAATTGCTTTCATCTTTCAGGTTGATCTCAACAAAAGACTCAGAAGACAGCCACCAAGAAGAAGAATCTAGAAGCTGTGGACCAAACCCTTCTGAAGAAGCTCTGTGTGCATGAGAATGTGGCCATAAAGCGATGGAGTTTGCAGCTCGACTGGGTTGTCCTTAGTCAGCTTCTGTTCCTGACCTCCCACGTTAGACAGGACCAGATAAAACTTAGGAGAATGAAGCACTAAGTAGCAGAGACCTTCAGCCTCCACATCACCTGGAAGCCCAGCATGGGATGTAGATATCTGAGATCAAAGCAAAGACTTTATTCTACAATCCCAGAACGTGCCTGCCTGGAGCGCCCACTGACGGGTGTCATTGGTTAGCCTGTCGATTCATGACTTTAGTCTGTGCCTAGGAAGTTTCCTGTAACCCCTTTGCAGTGGAAGATGTCATTCGGGGCCATTTGAATTCATGTTCCCAGGCTATGGTCACTCATATTCGACTCCTTATTTCCCTTAAAGAAGGGCTCTTACTTTACATCAAGGAACCCATCTCTACTGGAGTTGCTCATTACCCACCCAACACCCCTTTCTCCTCTTTGCCTCTGACAGAATTCTGATTTAGTTCAAGTGTCCTGCTCCCCAAACCCTGTGACTCCTAGGACATCAGCCCTACCTTCTTCCTGTGGACCATTGACTATGATGTCCCAGGTGGCTGGACATGATGACCCTCTTGCTCAAGCCTAATGGTAAAGCCATGGCCAGGGGAAGAGTGCGCTAAGAGGCATCCTCAGACTCCACACATGGCCCCGCTGTCGCCGCCCCATCTCAGAGCCCCGTGGACAGGACTGGAGCTAGCTTTATTGCTTGAACTCTGTGTTTGTTACTTGTAGCCGCCAGCCACCTGGCTGACCATCCTCTATCTAAGGACATTGGAAGAGACAGGCATGCTTGGTTTGCTGTCCCTGGGGCAGAACCTATGATGCTCATCTCCTTTAATAGAGTTATTCGGCTGGACTCTTAATGTAGGGAGGGAGCAGGGATCCCAGCAATGAAACCACAGACGAGCTGGCTTATCAGCTCTTTTCTTCCCATTCAAAAAGGTTCTCCAGACCTAGAAGAAAGGGCAGAGGAAGAAAGGTGAAGTGATAAGCGTGAGGATGGGACACAGTTGTGGGGCTCACATACCACAACACACCCCTGTGCGTGAGAAGGTAGGCAGTGTTAGGTTGCTAGAGAGAACAAGAATGATAATATTCTATGACAAGATGGCTCAGCAAAGGCACTTGCTGCCATAGCTGATAAGCTAAATTTGATTCCCAGGACCCACAAGGTGGAAACAAAGAGTGGATTCTTCAAATTGTAAACACACACACAAACAAATAAATGTAAAGGAAAAAATTTAAATGTTATTATCCTAAAGGCCAGTCCCAAGAATGCCCAGAATCCCCCTATCAAATCTTTTCCAATTAAAACTGCTACAAAGGGCACGCTAGAGGGATGGCTCAGTAAAGGATCCAGGTTTCATTTCACACCCACGTGGCGCTCACAGCCGGCTGTAACTTGATTCCCCAGGGACCTGACACCCTCACTTGGCTTCTGCAGGTAGCCAGGCACATGGTGCACAGACATACAAGCAGGAAAAATGCCCACACACAGAAAATAAAACAGTAAGGTGAAAAAAAAAAAACTGTTACAACCTTTCTTCGAAATGAAAAATGGTAAGATACGAGCATGCCTCCTGAAATACCTTTAAAATACTTCAATAACTAAAACAGGAATAAAACAGGGGAACAGATTGGGTGAAATAGCTGATACACAAGGTATAGAAGCCAATTTTAGAAAGAAACTTAGATTTCATCTCTTCGATGCATTAAATGAGAGACTTTGCATAACATTCAGCCGGAGGCGTCCCCAGATTCTTCTGTCACATTTTGCCTAGTGAAGAGAAGATGCACTTTCCAGTCTTTGAAGAGCAACGGCCATGAGCTGCCAGTTGTGAGTCTCCAGAAGGGACAGCATGCGCCCAGGTTAGGATCCCCAGGCCGTTCTCACTGCTGTCTCCTCCCTGCAGGTCACTGCTCGGCACCACTCAGTGGGTAATGTCATGGGTTCACACAGAGGTTAAGCAACACAGTCCATCAGCGCTGAGGAGGCCTGGTGACAGAGGAGCTCAGAGCTGTTGCATGAGAAGCGAGAGAGAGTTGGTTATCACTCGGGTAGTCAGGAAACAGAAAGCTTGGACCGGAAGCAGGGCCGTGTAGTTCTGAGGCCAGCCCCTCAGTGACCCACCTCTCCATCTCCTAAAGATGCTATAACCTCCCAAAACCACAAGCTGGAAAACTACTGTTCACACATAAGCCTCCGTGGGCCTCTTCACTGTTACATCTCAACACAGAGACAGTACACGTGGATGCCAGTGAGCCAAGTCTGATGTAGCCCCCTGCCCACAACCCCTTGCCCTCATGGGAAGTGGGTTTAGCTGAGCAAGGGGTGAGGGTGTCCGAAAGGATGGGAAGAGAGAGCAGGTGTGCTCACTCTTCTTCTCCAGGAGAAGGCCTTTGCCACAAGTGGACACTGTGGATGAAGTTGTCCTGGAAATAGCCTCAGGCTAATGTAGACTCCCAAAGTAGCTGACACCCAACAACCCTGCTCCTACTACACAGCCAGCTCCCAAGTTCCCCAGCCTGGCCCTGGGCCAGATCCACAATGGCCTTATCCACATTCTCAGGTGACCAGAACTCAGCCTGTCTGGGTCGGAGGGGAGCAAACTTTATGCTTTTGGTTTTTAAGGGCTTTCCCTCCCATCCGTTTTTTTTCTCAAGGTAAGCAATTTCTTGTTTTAACTATGAAATATATATCCTTGTATAAATTTTTCTCCTGATTGAAATACTCCCTCCTGGAAGAAAGAGAAAGAAAGATGGTGCATTCATTCAACGGGACATCGCTGGGTAATAGGAAGGAACAGACTATGATACACACAGCCTCCAATGCCATTTACAGGTCACATGGGTGGGTCTCAGAAAGGCGGGAGCAAAAGAAGGTAGACATTGAAAGAGCGTGGACTGTATGATTCCATTTGACCATGCAAAGTGCCCAAAAGTAATTTCTAAGGATGGAGATCAGGACAGTGCTCTCCTCAGAGAGGGTGGGGAGGGTGGTGGTTGCATAAGGATACAGGTAAAACCTTCAGCGATGACTCGGTCTTTTTCACTTTGCTGACAGCACACTGCTGTAGGTTGGTGAAGCTATAAAGAAAGAAGGTTCATTTTGCCTCAAGGTCCTGGTCCAAGGGATCATATCTGATAATGGATGGGCTTCTTGATGGCCGAGTCCCCAAAGTAGAGCAAGGTATCACATGGCAAGACCTAAGGGAGAGGAAGGGAGGGAGAGAGGGAAGGTGAGAGAGAGGGAGGGGCGGTTGCTTTCAGCTATCTCTACTTCTCATTAAAGCGCCTGAATTCACTCACAGAGGTTTCATCCTGGGGACCTCATCTAACCTTAACCCCTTCCCAAAGGCTTTAGCTCTAAACCATACAGTTTCCACCTTCTCTGTATGGCACAATGGAGATTAAACTTCAGCATGAGTTTCAGATGGGACAAACCACATTCAAACTATAGCATGGGAGGTGGAAATGTTCCATGTCTTGATTGAGGTGGTCACGTGAGAACCTACACTTACGAATTCTTAAATCTATACAGTTAGGTGCGTGCATTTTCTTGTTGTATAAAAATGACAGTCGGGTTGGGGAGATGGCTCAGTGGGTAAGAGTGCCTGCTGTGGAAGCATGAGGACTTGAGTTCGAATCCCCCAAAACTAATGTCCTAATTTGTTTTCTGTTGCTTTGATAAAAGGATTGGAGGAAGAAAGGGTTTCTTTGGCTTACACTTCCACATTATGATCCATCATTGAAGGAAGGCAAGGCAGGAGTTTAAGACTAAGAAGCTGGAGGCCTGGAAGCAGGAACTGAAGCAGAGACCATGGAGAAATGCTGCTTTCTGGCTCACCCAGCTTCCTTTCTTATACAGCTCAGGACCACCTGTCCGAAGGTGGCAGTGCCCACGGTGGACTGGGCCCTCTTCTAACAATTAACAACTAGGAAAACGCCCCTCCAAAGATGCCCACAGGTCGCCCCTCCAGAGATGCCATAGGTCAATCTGATAGAGGCTGTCCCTCAGCTGAGACTCCCTCTTTCTGGATGTGTCAAGTTGACAGCTAAAGCTAAACAGGGCACCATGTATTTTAAAAAGCTGGATATGGGACACTACAAAGATGGTTCAGCCCTCCTCCAGGGGGCCCAACTTTGGTCTCCAGCATCCATGCCGGGTGGACCATAATTATGTAGCTCCAGAGCCAGAGGCTCCAATGCCCTCTTTTGACCTCTGCAGGCACCCACACACCTGTGACATATAGCCACACAAACACACATGAATATACATAAATAAAATAATAAAAAAATAAGCCTTAAAGAAATCCAGCCGTGATCATAAGGGCATATAGTGCCATTGTTAAGGGCAGAGCAGGCAGATCCCAGGCGCTCACTAACCAGCCAGCCTAGCAAAGCGGTGAGCCTCAGGTTCAAGGAGACAGTCTGTCTCAAGGGTGAGGCAGCAAGCAATAGGGCAAGACACATATGTCCTTCTGTCTTGACATGACGTGTGCATCTGTACATACAATGCGCGGACAGACGGACACACACACACTAGTTCTGTGAAGAACGTTTTAAACAGCAGTGAAACAGCCTTTATCTGTCAGAATGACAGAATTGTAAATACGTGGCTGCGCAGCCTGTTTGTAAAGCATGGGAAACAGCTCTCTTAGCTCCTGCTGGGGACAGTACACGTAAGCGGGACATTTATAGACGACAATTTCCCACATCAATCAAATTCGAAACTATGTATTCCTCTGACTTAGCAGTTACATTTCTGGAATTTATGCTACAGGAATAGTGTCCACATGCAAAACAATTTATGTGCGAGGTTTGCCATTGCAAAACAGCAAAATTCTGGAAGCATCCCAAAGGCCCAACAGTGCTTGCTGTTCATTACACTCCTGTTGCTATGATAAAATGCTCTGATAGAAGCAAGCCTAGGGAGAGAAGGTTCATTCTGGCTCGTGCCTTGAGGAGTTACTGTCTATCACGTAAAGGATCGATTTAGTATATTTTTAATTATATTTTGTTAGAATGGTTGACTTTTAAAAAGGAGTGTCCATCCAAGGTTCCCTCCAAGATGGTTCCCTCCAGGAAGCTTCTCAGAAGACCTCAGGCTGGGCTGAGCCTCAAAGCAGCCCAAGAAGGAAAAGGAAAGAACAAGCGTATGGCTCCCCAGAGAAACACTTCAGTTTTTCTCAGCAGATGCTGCCTTGGGTTTTATGAAAACCTGTCTGCAGCTGTCAGGATAGGACTGACCAAGAGACGCTGTTACTCCCTGGAGCTTCGCCTCTGACAAGTAAAGGATGCTCCCTGGGGACTTTCTGGAGATTGTTCTAGGGCACGTGACAGTCCTTCTGCTTTCTAAACTGAGAACTGGATGTCTCTGGTTGTCCCTGCTTCCTGTTATTGAAACTCAGCCCTATCTGAGGATTGGCCAGCTCCCCATCATGAAGCCTGGGTTGCACTTATCCACAGGACAAGCAGTTCCCTGTTCTCTTGCTTTGTCTACTCATGAACAGTAGCCCCAGCCCCACTCCCCACTCCCCACTCCCTAAGACCTCTGGAACCCTGCTTCCTGCCTCAAGTCCGAGGTACAATGAAGTTTTCATCTCTGCCGTAGCTCCTTTAGGAGAAGCCTCCATTGGAAGTCATGCCTCCGTGAGAAAGGCATGATGAAGTCTTAAGACTCATCTCCACACTCCCCATGCTGGCACCACAGCCTAGAGGAGGCTCTGGAATACTCTCCAAACCAGAAGCCATGTCCGTCCCCGCCAGACATCAGCCAACAGCTCCCAACCAAAGACTAATGTCCCTCCAGGAGGAGAACCTAATTTGCCTTCTCTCCTCATTCCGCGCTGTCTCCAGCAGGGACAGCACCTTCATTAATATGTGTAGTCTGGAGCCTGGAGCTGCCTGCCAAGCTTCCGGCTAATTGGAAATTGACAGTATCTGCCTGAGGGAAGACAGGCTCTGCCCCTAGTCTCTGGGCTTCTGATCCCACACAGGCTGGACTCTGCTGCCCAAAAGGGGAGAGTTTTAGTCAGGCATTCCATTGCTACGGCAGATACCTGAGAAAATGACTTACAAGGAAGAAAAGATTGCTGTGGCTTGTGGCTTCGGGGTTTAATCCGGGATCTCGGGCTGTGTGGCTTCTGGACTCAGAGTGAGGCAGAACATTCTAGCAGAAGGGTTTTCTATGGAGCAGAGCAGCCTAGCTCATGGCAGAGAAGAAGCAGAGCCAAGAAAAGGAACAAGGGACAAGATACCAAGGCACCCTCAGGGGCCCACTTCCTCCAGCTAGTTCCAGCCTCCTACTTTTCAGCACCTCCATTATTATGGCTCCATCAAGGGATCGATTGATTAGGTCAGAATCGTCACTATGCAATGGCTTCTCCAAAACCTATCAGCCAGCAACCAAGTCCCAACCCTGTGGGAGCAATTCAAAACATAAATGGCAGGGAGCGATGCCACTGTAGCCTATGGGCACAGTGTGAAAGTCTAGAAAGTTAAGGACAGCATTACTTTTATTAACATTTTATTTATCCAGTGAGGTGGGACCATGCGCTCACACAGAGGTCAGAGGACAACTTGTGGGAGTCATTTCTCTCCTTCCACCACCTGGGTCCCAGGGATCACACTCAAGTCATCAGGCTCAGTGGCAAGAGCTTTCACCCACCTAGCTGTCTTTAACCAGGAGGCTGGGGTGATGATTCAGTCATTAGACTGCCTGCTGTGTAAGCACAAGGACCTGAGTTCAAATCCCAAGTACCCATATAAAAGCTGGGTACAGTGGCACAAACCTATAACTTTGCTGCTGGGGAGATGGAAACAGTCGGGTCCTTGAAGTTTGTTGGCCTGGCAATGGAGCTGTATTAGTGGGCTCCAGGTTCAGCAAGAGATCTTGTCTCAAAGAGAAATGATGATCAAAAAATATATATGAACATTCCCATCTCCACACATATGTACATACATGCAGCTAAATATAAATAATAACTAAGTCCTTACAGAGGCATGTAAGTTAGACCCCTCTTGTCCATTTACAGTTGGATTTATTACTTTTTTTTTTTTTTAATTTTTATAAGCCAGCCTTGGTGCCACACACCTTTAATTCCAGTCTTGGGGAAGCAGAGGCAGTTCAAGGCCAGCCTGGTCAACAAAGCAAGTATGGGATAGCCAAGGTTACAGAGAGAAACCCTGTCTCAAAAAACAAAAACAAAAAAACCTCAAAAAAAATTATGTATGTGTTATCTACATATCCACTGGAGCGTGATCAAAGTCTCAGTGGCCTGCCCCTTGCACAGAACCGAGCCCCTTCCCTTCCGCAGACCTTCAGGAAGCCATTGGTTGTGGAGATGGCTTCAACAGCCATATCACATTTTTTAAGAGATCTCTTCAGTGATTTCCTCTTTAGGCTGTTACTTTGGGGGGAGAGGCTAAAATATTTACTTACTTACATTTGAGGGTTTTTTCCTGCATGTATGTCTGTGTGTCTTGTGTATGCCTGGTGCCCATAGAGGCCAGAAGAAAGCATAAGAGCTGCTGGAATTGGAGTTACAGGCAGTTGTAAGTCTCCATGTGGGTGCTGGGAATCAAGCCCTGGTCCACTAGAAGAGCAGCCAGTGCTCTTCACTGCTGAGCCGTATCTCAGCCCTGGAATTATTTTTTTTTCTTTTCACTTGTTTAAAAAAAAAAATAAAAGATGTTGGGCTGAAGAGATGGCTCAGCAATGAGGAACACTGTCTGCTCTTCCAGAGGTCCTGAGTGCAATTCCCAGCTACCACATGGTGGCTCACAACCATCTTCTATACTGGAATCTGATGCCCTCTTCTGGTATGCAGGTGTACATGCAGATAGAGCATTCATCTACATAAATTAAAAAAAAAAATCTTAAATATGGTCCAGTCTGAGTGGTGATTCAAGTTAACAGCCAATCCAAATGCTGAAATGCTGGTATATATATCATGATGTTTTAACCACATCACAGTGATCGACCTTTATTGTCAATTTGACTGGTATTAGAAACACCTAGGAGTCACACCTTTGGGGCATATGTGAGAGAATTTGCAAAGATGTCTGACTGAGGAGGGAAGGTCCTTCCTAAATGTGGGTGACAGTAGCCAATGGACTGGCATCCCACACTGAATAAAAAGGGGGAACAAGAGGAACACCAGCGTCCCTCTCCCTGCCCTTCATCACTGCAGCCTCAATGAAAC